TTATGGCTTTCAGACCTCTTGAGAGGTCAGTGTGAACAGAAACCAGGCAGAAATGTGCAAGAGACATCTGATCACTTTGTGTGGCTCAAAATCACTCAGTGAAGGTAAGGGAGAATGAGGAAGCCAATGGCACCGACCCAAGAGTAACAAGGCACACGTGCAAAAGTTTCGGTTTATAAAAGCCAGGGGCGCCGGGCCTGAAGGCACACGCCCTTTTAATCCAGCACACTCAGGCCGCAGAGGCAGGCAGATCTCTGTGAGTTCAAGGCGAGCCTGATCTACAGATCGAGTTCCAGGGCAGCCAGGGCTACACAGAGAAACCCTGTCTCGAAAAAACAACAAAACAAAACAAAAAACCCAAAACAAAAACCAACAACAACAACAAAAACCAAAGCAAAACAACAACAAAAAAGCAAGAAGCAAGGGCCACGCTTAAACCTCTAAAGGCCCGTTCTGGAACTACACCCAAAGGAAGGGAGCACCTAAGAACCCAAGCATGACTCCAAGTGGTCACAGCCCGCCCCACCTCACAGGCCTGTCAAAGGGCTTCCAGCTGAGCGCTCCTTGAGCCCTTACCTTCCGACAGCTCCTGCCCGGGTTGCCCGACCTCCTCCTCAGGGATGTCCTCCCTCCTCCAGAAGAAGGACACCAGCTTGGCCGCAAGACGCAGCATGGCATCCACTCAGCTTCCACCTCCGCCCCAGGCGCTGGCACGCCACAGCCCCGCCCATTACCATTAAGCATGCGCCCCCCTCCAGAACTCAGCCAATAGGGTTGTTGTGTCTGCGCCTGCGCCTGCCTATCATAGGGCTTAGCCAATAGGATCCTTGCATATGCCATGAGCCACGACCGTTAGTTTGGCGGTTAGCACGTGAAGGAGCCCGGGATTCCTCGTGGAGGTGACAAGAGGCCTGGCATGCGCAGTGTCCTGACCGGGGAGGGGGGGTTGGGGGGGGCGCTTCATGTTGGATGGGCGTGGCACTATGTTTGGGTAGACATTTCTGCTTAGTCCACTTACGTGGAAGCCAGGCGATGGTGGTGCACGCCTTTAATCCCAGCACTCAGGAGGGAGAGACAGGTGGATCTCTGTGAGTTCTAGGCCAACCTGATTTACAAAAGGAGTTCAAAACCAGGGCTGTTACACAGACACACACACTCCCCTTGAAAAAAAAACAAAATCCAGCAAGATGAAGGTCACACCGAGTGTGACCTTAGGAGTGGTTATGTAGAAATTTATTAGGTTAGGATGCCCCTAAGAGTTTTACTTTTTTAGAGGGGAGCACGTTATACACCGAGATTGTCTATGGAACTTATGCTGTAGTTTAGGATGCTTTTGCACTCCTGATCCTCCTGCCTCAATTTCCCAAGTCCAGAATTTACAGGCCTGTGCTACCACACTGTTTTATATGGTGCTAGGGATCCACAGCCTGGCATGCTTGGCAAACATTCCTTCAACTGAGCTATATCCCCAGCCTGTGAAATGTTTTTTTAAAATAATTATTTTAAAATTATAGATTTCTCTTTAAATTTTGGTTAAGTTGCAACCTACAAAATTTGAATTGCAATTTCCCCTTTTTTTCTTGTAATTTTCTTGACCCCTATAGGAGTTTTTTATTCTGCTGTTGCTGGATTTTTTTTGAGGGGGGTTGTTTGTTTGTTTTTGCACTGCTTCAGAGTTTTATGTTTTGTTTTTCTTTCCCCAGGCTTGTTGCCAATATATGACTATTTATAGAGTTTCTGCTAGAGTTTCTGCTACTGGTCTAATTTAACTTGGTCCTAAACAGTCAAATCTGGATGACTTCTGTTCTTAACGTTTATCAGGGTATGGTGGCCCACACCTTTGATCCCAGAACTTTGGAGGAAGAGGGAAGCAGATTTCTGTGACTTCCAGGCCAATCTGGTTTACATAATTCTAGGCCTACCAGGACTACATTGTGAGACCCTGTCTCAAGGTGAAATAAAACACAAACCTTATCAAGAGTTTCCCCACTACACCAGTCTCTCGAGTCCCCTTCAATGTGTCATAAACAAGATGTATTCTGTTAGGGGTCTAATTTAGTTCTAGATTAATTTTTTTATTTTTAATACATGATCTGTCCATTTAATTTATACTCTTCTTGAGAGATGGGTGAGAGAAATTCATCCCTTAAGCATTTAGGGGCCTGTCTTAAATGCTTCCTGTTGGGTGTGTTGTTGGGAATACACAGGAAAATGAATAAGGACCTGAGAATTTATAAGGTTGGAGTCACTTTAGAGATGAGGGCTGGATAACCCAGGCAGGCTGGTTAATCCTGTCATGGTATATAGTAGGAATTACTGCCTTTCAGGACTGTCTGTGGATGCTGCCAGCCTGACCTGCCCTCCATCAGACTTTTCTACATTTCCATGCAGACACCCGATGGGCATTGTGTCTGTCTGTACATCATATCTAAAAGAAAATGTGATGTTGCTCCAAGACCTTTCCCCTGCCCATCTAAATAGCCCACAGTACTGATAGCAAATGGGGTGGATTGGCTCATCCATATCTATCTGGAATTTGAAACCCTCTCATCATTTTGGGTCACAGCTCCTCCCCATCTTCTTTCTCCATCCAGCACCAGATGACCTTGCACAAGTCCACCTCAAGGTCAAAGTCAAGTGGCTTCTATGCCCACTGGTGTCTTGTACCTGGATGGCCTCTGCATTCTATTTCCCAGAATCCCTGGCTCACCCTGCTCCAGCCATGTTCTTGCCTGTTCCAAGGCCTAAAGAACTATAAGACCTCTGGCTTTTCTGCCTTCCCTTTGTGCCTTTAGTGCTATCCACTGTCTCCCTGAAGTCTATTCATCCTCACACAGAGATGTCAAGTCTGTTGCTGTATGACACAGAAGAACGGTAGCTTGTAAATATTCAGTGGGTAGACAGAAGAAGGGCAGTTGCTTGAAGATTGTACTGAAAAACAGGACTCTTGCTTAGAAACTAGTAGCAATGAAGACACACTTCCAGGTCACTGTAAACTGGGAGTTGGGAGAGCTCAAGGAGCACTTTCTCTCTCCAATTTATGGCAGCTTGTTTCTGTTTCTTAGTAGAAAACACTTTTGAAAGTCAGGAAAATGCCAGGTGTTGGTGGTACATGCCTTTAATCCCAGCACTCGGGAGGCAGAGGCAGGTGGATCTGTGTGAGTTTGATGCCAGCCTGGTCTACAGAGCAAGTGCCAGGATAGGCTCTAAAGCTACACAGAGAAACCCTGTCTCAAACAACAACAACAACAACAAAACAACAACAACAACAAAAAGGTCAGTAAAATGATGAAATTTGCTCAACTTTTTCTCCCAAAAGAAAACACAGAAGAGTTCAATCCAGGTGGTCCAATTCCCATGAATTGTACTGATTTTAAAACTCAGTAAATTTGGGAGGTTTCTCAATCCATTTGAAAGAAGTTCCAGATGTTTCAGGGAATGGTTTAGGTGCATTGTTTCTTGTTTTAATTTATTTTTATTTTATGTGTATGGGCATTTTGCCTGCATGTATATGTTCAATGTATGTATCTTGTGCCTATACAGAAGAGGGTGTTGGATCCCCTGAAACTAGAGTTGTAGATGGTTGTGAGACGCCATGTAGGTGCTAGAGTTGTAAGCTACCATGTGGATGCTGGGAATTGAACCCAAAATCCTCTGCAAGAGTAGCCAGTGCTTGTAACCTCTGAGCCATCTCTCCAGCCCTGGATAAACTTTTTCTAATCCTTCTTGTTTGGATGAAAAACTAAGATAACTGAACATCCCCAATTAGAAACCAGTGGCTGAGCCCAGACTGCATGCGGTTCTGCTGTTCAAGGGCCTGTTTTTTCCAAGTACTCTGGGCGGAGCCTTTTTGCAATGCTCACAAAGAAATTGTTGCTGTAATTGCCAGTGCGCCAGTGTCTCCAGGCAAATGAAGCACATTCATGTCTCTTTTCTCTGCCTAGTGAGCAGAAATAAAGGGTGCAGTGGGACCATTCTTGCCAATCCTTGGGGCTACCATGGGAACCCGTGGTGGAATTCCCACCAGTTCAGAGGCCAGCCTTGCCAAATCGAGAACATAAAGGTTTATGTGGCCTGATGAAGGAGATTTCCATCATGTGATAATGGGAGACAAGGAAAGACTGCTTAAAGAGATGTGTGATGTGACCTCAGAGTAGTTTTCTGTTCCAGGTCCAAGGCTGGTCAAGATCCATATCCAGTGCACTGTTCCTAGCAGTACTTCTCTTTTCAAGACACCCTCCTAGCTAGTATGCAGTGAGTGGGACCAGGGGCTCCTCCTTTTCTCCTTGTGTTAGGAAAGCCCCAAGCCAGTGCTTATGCAACCAAGGCGGACATTTCTAGGATCCACTCCCTTAATCTCATTGAAATTCAGGAAGCTGTCTGCCTGCTCCTGGCTGAAGTGCAGTTTGGCTGAGCTTTTGTTCCACTTATGAATAGTTCTTGCTGGAAGTCCATCACCCAGAGGCCAGCTCTCCCAACAGCCGGACAACAGCAGAGGTAAGCATGAAGACATTAAATTACAAAGTAGGTACATCTTTTGTAATCTTGTATTACCACTTTGTGTTGACTAGGTGGAGTCCCCCCTCTGTTTGGGACTCATAAAGTTGCTGGTAAAAGTTGGAACGTACTATATTGAAGACTCAGATGCAATCTAAATGCCCTGAATCTAGATGGGATTGGGTGATTTTATCCACTTTGAGAATTAAGTGTTTATTCCTTTTTAGGTTCATAGCTCTAGTGCATGAGCATATTTCTTTGTGTAAGAAAGTATTTGCTTAAGTCAGACATAGTAGTGTTTACTTGTGTAGAAGTTTAAGGCCAGCCTGGACCACACAGTGTAATACTTTGTCTCAAAAGAGAATTTTTAAAGGAATTCCTTGAAAATGACTCATTAGGACTGGAGGGATTTTTTCAGTTGTCAAAGTCCATGCTGATTTCATTGCATGGGAGGGAGTAGTGGTCCAAGTATGCTCACGAGTCTCAGAGTGGCTGTGTGTCACCCTCAGTAGCATGCCTGTTTCCAGTGCCATGACACGGGAGGGGCAGTTCAGGGAAGAGTTGGGCTATGACCGGATGCCCACACTGGAGAGAGGTCGGCAGGATACAGGACGGCAGGACGCAGGCAGCTACACCCCTGACTCAAAGCCGAAGGACCTGCAGCTGTCGAAGAGGTTGCCCCCGTGCTTCAGCTACAAGACATGGGTATTCTCTGTGTTAATGGGGGTAAGTAGCTCAACACTGTTTCAGAGGACAGCAAACACCATGTCCTTCCAGTGCTGACCATGTTCTATAGAGTACAAGGCCCATAGATTGGGACACGATCTGTCTCAGGTGGTTCAGGCAGGAACAGCTCCCATGTTGGTGGGGTGCCTCTTGAGTGCCAACATTTTCTTTTGTTTGTGTCCTATCAGTTACTTTTCTCAATATCTGCTGGGAAGTGGGGGCTATACACCTATACCATACTTACCCTGAGCCCATAGCCCACTGATCCATCAGGTAGCTGGCATGACATGGTACTCCTGTACATGAATGGTCTGTGAAGGTTTGGAGGCCATCTCATATTTCAGAGTGGCTCTGTGGAGTGAATGGCAAGAGATGTGGCCAAGACTGGGGTCAGGACTATGGAGCAGGAAGGACTACAGCAGCCATAAGAACTATGGGGGAGGGTTGATGAGGGACCATGGTGAGGGCTAATTTGGGTGTAGCTAGAAAGCAGATCTAAGCTAGCCCAGAGTGGGCAGTGCCATATGGGCCCCCAGGACATGTGTACACAGTCTTGCAGATACCTGGATGCTTGAAGAGTCATTTGGCCCTGAGTGTGCACAGTAGCTGAGGACCAAGCCACTGCATGCATTTTTTCTATGTCTGGAGCTGAGTTTTGTGCAGCCCTGGTCTGATAACCAGTATTTAGATGGGGATGCCTCCTCCCTTTCCACATCTCTAGACCTTTTACAGATTCCAGTTTGGATCAGTTCTGCAGAGGCAGCAGGGCAGGCGCTTGTTTTATAGGCTCTGAGCCTGGACCTGGGGTAGGATCCTGAATCCCTGGATATTACCCCCCCCAAAAAAAACCCAAAACAAAAACAGTGTGGCAGTTTCTGCTCTGGCTTCAGAGGTAGGAAAGGGGAAGTCCATTCCTTGGGTTGTGCTGGTCCTGCCATGAAGAGTTGCATGCAGTCATACAGGACCCAGATATAGGCAAAATAAATATGAGAGGGTGTTGGTTTATGTGGGGAAAAGTTAAGTTGCAGTCAAAGGGTTGGGTGCTGCCTCATCAGGTGTCTCATCACCAGATAGAGCCAGTTATAACCTGAATCTATGTCACTCTTTTGCAGAGCTGCCTTCTTGTGACCTCTGGGTTTTCCCTCTACTTGGGGAATGTGTTCCCCTCCGAGATGGATTATTTGCGCTGTGCAGCAGGCTCTGTAAGCATACTTCTCAGCTACACCAGCACCCTAATTCTCCCATCGTGGGTTTGAGCCTCAGTAACCTGCAGTTTATAGGTTTCTGCTAACTACTCATATGACTAGTTTTAATAGTTTTGAAGCTTACCAGGTCTGACACCTATGTGGGAAACAGCACTTTTGATCCTGGCATGTTGTGGTGTCTTCCTGCTCCTAATATATGGGGTGCTACTAAGGCCTCTGCCCTTGGTATTCTGGAGACTTCACCCCTGTTCCTCCCAAATCCTGATGCCATGTTTCTAGAATCTCATCCATTGCCAAAGGATACTGTCCTCACAGGAGGGAAGGAGAGAGCCACTAACACCCCAGGCTCTGTCTCCTGCCTCCCCAGTGTCTGACTAGCTCAAGCACAGAGTATACTATCCTCTCTGGGTGAGTGTGTGGTAGCTGGGCTATGGTGACCTCTTCAAAGCCACCCTATCTTTTTTTTTTGAAATGTATTTATTATGTATACAACATTCTGCCTCCATATATGCCTACATGCCAGAAGAGGGCACCATATCTCATTACAGATGGTTGTGAGCCACCATGTGGTTGTTGGGAATTGAACTCAGGACCTCTGGAAGAACAACCAGTGCTCTTAACCTCTGAGCCATCTCTCCAGCCCACAACCACCCTATCTTAGACACCATGATCACAGAACAGAAACTGTTATAAAGGAAAATATTTAACTGGGGTAGCTTACAGTTTCAGAGGTTTAGTCCATTATCATTATGGTGTGTGTGTGTGTGGGATGCAGGCAGGCATGATGCTAGATCAAGAGCTGAGAGTTCCACATCTTGTCCACAGGCAACAGAACTTTCTCTACACTGAGTGTAGCTTGAGCATAGGAGACCTCATAGCCCACCCTTGCAATGACAGGCTTCCTCCAACAAGGCCACACCTACTCCAACAAAGCCACACTTCCTAATAGTGCCACTCTCTTTGGGGGCTATTTTCTTTCAAATCACCACACACCCTATGTTCCTTTGAGGTCCTAGATCCCCAGGTTCACTCCCTGTGTCTTTTCCTATTCAGCTGATGACTGGCCAGCACAGACCAAGGTTCCTGGGAGTCTTTTCTTCCCTAACCCCTGCCAGGATCCCCTACCCCTCCCACTGCTCCCATCAGTGGCCTGAGTTATCTTAAAAGACAAAGAACACATGGAGCTCAGCAGTTAAGAGCACTTTCTGCCCTTGCAGAAGACCAAGGTTCAGTTCCCATCACCCATGATGGCTCATAACCACCTGTAACTTTAGTTCTAGGGGATCTAATGTCCTTTGCTGACCTCTGTGAGCATCAGGTATCCATGTGGTACACAAACACACATGAATGCAAAAGACCCACACATGTAATATACAATAAGTAATTCTTTTTTAAAAAGAAGAAAGGCAAAGGACACCAGCTTCTTTTAAGCCTACACCCCAGCCATGTGCACATGTTGTCTTGGACCTCTTTGTTCCTTTATAATAAAACTCTATGAAAGAATGTGAACCCTTCACTGCCACTTCCTCTCTGGATATGTCTACCATGTCCTCATCATGGGAGCAGAATCACAGTGATTCTGACCCACATTGTTCCAGTGGCAATAATCCCTCGGTCCCAAAGGTGGGGAACACTCATTCCTACCTTGTTCCACCCCTGACAGCTGTCTTCCCAGATGCTTGTGTTTGGCCTCTGGATTACCTGAGTAAGTCCCAAGACCTACCTCAGGTCTCAATACAGGTTTCCTTTCCCTCCCATACCACCCACTATATGTCCTATATAGACATTCCCATTGGCCTTTGTCCTGTGAGCTCCTATCCTTTTAGGTCCCATCTGCTGTTCTTCCAGGGGATTAGGGTCCCATTGCCCACATGCTTGACACCACATGACCTGCCAGACCCAGGCTGACCCAACTACAGCTCCCCTGACACCCTCACTAACCTACTTCCCTGGTTCTTGATCTGACTTTGGAGTCAGTAGGGTCAGACATGGCCTGGATGTCAGCCACTGAGATAGAGGGACCCTCTAAGTACAAGGGGACACTTCTGTTTTGGCCACACAGATACTTTTTCCTTCTGGGTTCAATAATACCAAGTTGTAGTATGACTTCCACTCTCATCCAACCAAATGCTGTTTAATTAACTTTTGAAAAATAACATTTTTACAAATTCTTTGAGAATTTCATACACACACATACAATGTATTTGGACCACATACTACCTCCACTTCTTCCCCTATCCTCTCGGATCTGTCTCTGACCTCCTATTTCCCCTCACAACTTCATTTCTTTTTTTCATTTTAATAACTCATTGGGTCCAATTTGGACTGAGTCAACCTACCAGGGGCCATGTCATAAAAAATTTTTTTTTAAAAAAAAGGTCTTTCCCTCCCCCAACAGCCTTGACTGTCAAGAGCTCCTCAGCCAGGGGTGGGGACCGGTGAGCCCCTTCCTCCTAAATACTGTTTTTGAATTAAGTTACTTGAAATATCAAGGGACTTTCAGGGTTGGGGGAGCTTCTTGTACCTGATAGACTGACAATGATGGTTTGCCAGTGTGACTCAGATAATTGTAGAGGCTTAAACATTGTTAACACATCTTAATTGTGTGCTGAGCTGGAGGTAAAACCCAAGGTCTATAGTACCTGAGGCAAGAGCCCTAACATTGAACTACATCTGGCCTGCAACGCACTGTTTCAAGATTGACACCATATCCAGGGTACAAGACTCAGGTAACTCAGGTTCTGGTTTCTTTTCAGTGCATCCCCTCAGCCATTGTGAGCTTCGCTGTGGGGAAGAGAAACGTCAGTGCGGTAAGTTAAACCTTCGGTGAAGCCTCCTTTGCAGACTTGGAGACCCCACAGCACTGAGCTGTGGAAAACAGATATTGTCTTGATTTCTTTAGTATTTTTTAAAGAAGGAAATGCCTCCTGCTTTGTTTTCCAGATTCCCAACTTTCAGATATTGTTTGTCTCCACGTTCGCTGTCACCACTACGTGTTTAATCTGGTTTGGATGTAAACTGATCTTGAATCCGTCAGCAATAAACGTGAGTCATGGGAAGGGGATGTGGGTCACAGTATGTTTTTACCTGAGTCATGTCTTCCTACTGATGTCAAGTGCTGCTCCCACTGAGCAGGGATAAGCCCTGGTTAGAGATTCACTGAAAATGTATTGCTCTTGCTGGCTGGCAAGCGTTGAGGATTGCCACCTATGCTTCTAAAGTAAGGAATCATCTCTGCTGACATTTGAGTTTATTCCATTGGGCAAACTGATTGATCAATGGCATGCTAGTGTCTATTTCCTAACAGTGGCAGGCCTGGGATGAACTTGGTGACAGCATTCACTTCTAATATGTGCAATGTTTCGCATTTTAGCTCATTACCACACATAAAAAAACAGCAACATAAAAAAAACCCAGCAACATACTACTGTATTTTATCCAATCTATGATGTTGTTTATAAGGCATTCTGTCATTTTTTGCACTACTGAGAAAAATGGGGAAAGATTACATAAATTGTGATACTCATTGTGAAAAAAAAGTCTCACGAGAAATAAGAATGCTCTATCTACTCTTGTGAGAACACACAAAAATTCAAGGAACACCCAGGCTGCTGGGTATAAAGGAGATGCAGCTGACTGGACACTGATTATTGAGTGCATGTAGTAAGTTGCTGGATATGAAAAATAAATATAAAACTTTAATTATGCCATAAAAATTGAAAATATTCTCTAAACACAGATGCCCTATAGAATTAAATGTCTAGAGCTGGGTATGTTAACACATACCTGTTATCCTATCCCTTAGGAGATAGAAGGAGGAAGATCAGGAGTTCAAGGTCAACCTTGGCTGTGTAGTTAAGTTTGAAAATAGTCTCAGCTATATGAGACCATACAAACAAGAAACAAGTAACAACAACAAAAAAACAAAACCCTAACCAACCAAACAAAACATATAAAGTTCCTGGGACTATGTCTAACAAGAGATTAAAAACTATGACACATATTTTTTATAAAAATCTTATCTATAGCCGGGCATTGGTGGCGCACGCCTTTAATCCCAGCACTCAGGAGGCAGAGGCAGGCGGATCTCTGTGAGTTCGAGGCCAGCCTGGTCTACAGAGCAAGTGCCAGGATAGGCTCCAAAGCTACACAGAGAAACCCTGTCTGGAAAAAAAATCTTACCTTATGTGTATGGGTGTTTTACCTGCATGTGTGTCTGCCTGGTGCCAGTGGAGGCCGGGAGAGGGTGAATGCCACATACACATCCGGAACAAACAGAAGACGAGACCATGAGGCAATGCAGCTCTGAGTGAAAGGCTTCTCTCCAAAGTCTGTATGGGACCTGGTTCAGTGGAACACAAAGAGGGAAAAGGGTCCCTCGGGGACAGATGGGGACATGTTCTCCCACAGCCAAAATACTAGAAAGAAATCCTAATAAAGGGGTAGGCTGGGCATGGGGTTACAGGAACCTTCATAGTCAGTCAGTCCAGAGTTACATCATATGGGGGGTTCAGGCTGTGATCTGGATTACAGCGAGTACTGAATTAGCCAAATGGACTCCTTACCTCTTACCTGCCACATAGAAGAAGACTTGAGCTGTGTGGGTGTAGCTAGGAGAGGCTGCTCTCCCCCAAGCACAGGAGTACCCTGAGGGTGGGAATAGGAGATATGGAAGTGACAGAGGGTGCCTCCAGCACACTAAGATCCCTAAGAGAAATTGATGCTCGAGGAGGAGGAAGCCACACAGCAAGGTAGCTCAGCACATACCCAGAGAGACTCTCTGATGACAGCTGCAGGCCCTTTGAAGAAATTTTTGATCCTTGTATGTATCTTCTTAAAATGAAGACATTGCATCATCCCAAGTTCAAACCTCAGAGAAACACTAGCACACCTGTCACTAAGAAGCATGCATGAGGGGCTGGAGTGATGGCTCAGCGGTTAAGAGCACTGGCAATGGACCAGCAGCCCCAACCTCACCTGGAACTTACATCTGCAAAACTTCAGTCCCACCTGGGCTAGGTGTCAGACTCCATAAGTAACTAGGCTCTCCATGGCTCCAACCACACTGAGACCTGATGGTTATTGAGCCATGAGTATGAACTACCTGGGGTAGGTGGAACCTGAAGAACACAGTATTTGGGCCAGTCCTGCCCAGAAACTATGTTCAGGGACATCCATGTAAATGGTGAAATAGCTATGAAGTGGACAGACATTCAGGAATATGGCTCCATCTGTGTGGGTTGTGGCACACTGTCCTGTAGGCCCTTCCCCAGATCCTCTGGTCTCTACTATGGGAAACTTTGGGGGTCTGTACACTGCTTTCCTTGTTGGTGGGCTCAGCTGTTCTTGCTCTCTACCCATTTCCTCGTGAGTCGACATGACGGCTTATCTTGGTTGTCAACTTGAGTACATCTGGAACTAACTAAAACCCAAGCAGCTGGGGACAGCTGTGAGGGTTTTTTTTTTTTTTTGATAAGATAGTTTGAGGTAGGAAGACCTACTCTAAATCTGGGCCATACCTTCTGGTATCAGCCCACATAAAAGACATGGAATAAAGCAGTCTTTGCTTTTTGCCTACTTGGCTTCACTGGTGCTGGTGAGGCAAGCTTGTGAGGCTTGTCCCATTGCTGAGGCATTCCTTTGTTAATATTAGAACCTACTTTTAGACCAAAGGCCAGCACCTCTCTAGGATTCTACACTAGATTGAACTAATTTCACATGATTTTTCCAAAGACACACGAAGAATCATCTAATTACCCCAGGCAGAAAAAAAACATTTGCAGACCAAAGAAACAAGCTCAGTTTGGTGAACTAATGCGTTCATCAATGTTACTTACAGGAGCCAGGGTGACCTCTTATATAATTGTGGGGTGGGGGAGGCTCAGAGGGAATGTTTATAGGGCAGATCTCTCAAGGGTCTCCTGTGTGTCTGCTTCAAGGTCATGTTCAGGGTATTGAAAACAGCTACACTTTAACTTGCTTTTGGATGGTGAGGTAGCATGTTCTCAATCTGCATTATATGAAATACTCATTTCTAGGCTGTGCCTAGACTTAGGTTATTCCCATTTGATAAAGCAACAGTCTTGACCAGAGTTACTCCATTTTGAATGGAAGTGACAAGAAAGAATGACTCAATATACACCTTGTTTACACAAATAAGAAAACCCACCATTTGCTAAGATATACAAATTGGTAAATGGTAAATGAGCTAGTAAATGACACCTGGGTGTATCAGCTATACCAGGCACATGAGCTTTTCAGTCCTACTAGATGGGATTATAAAAGAAGGCACTGTCACTTCATCACTTGTCATGAGACTCACCAAGACTCACTCACTGCCACAGGAAAGAACTCTGGCCCTCATCCCTGTGTTCCAGCTTAAGCATAGACTCTTCTGCTAATCACACCAGCCCACTTCAGACTGACCCCTGACCCTCGAAACTGATCCACTTCAAAACCCTCCCAGACCTATATTTGACATCCTTTGCCCACACAGCTCTGCAGTTAAGACTTCTTATCCAGCCCCTTAGAGACTTCTCACAGCTGTGCCAACTCTGCCTGATTTCAAAACCTCAGTTTCTCCAACTTCACCAATTGTCAAGCCTGGTAATGCACTTGGTTACAGGTTTTTGCCTCATCTCTGCTGTAGTCTGCCCTAGATTTTTATGGAAATTCTCATTTTCATTGCTATTTGGCTCTCTTTGCCCCTGAAGTTCTGGGGGAGAGGGGGACCAAGCTGTGCTTGTCTACCAGTACTCCCTATCCTGGCCCCAGGGGTGGCTGGACATTACAGAGGGGCTAACATATTTTTCTCTGGCTCTGTGTCCATTGGTCTGGCAGGGCTGGGTCTACAAGGCAGGCTGTCTTCAGTTGCAGCCACTTTGCTTGGAGCTCCCTGGAGAAGCTGCAGTCCCTGATACAGTCCACTCTGACCATCACAGGTTCCTCTTGTCCAAGAACACACTTCTGTGAATTGTCACTGAATTGCCATCCTCTTCTGAGTATCCTGACTGTTCATCGTCAGGATCCCAATGAAGCAGGCACATGGAATTATTTTTAAATACCATCCACATGTTATTGATTTCTGGTATCATTACAACATGACATGAATACATAGTCAGAGTGCATAGATTCTTTGGCATTAACCAAGGCTCACGATGCAGCAAAATGGATTTTTCTTAGTGTTCCACAGTAGTTATCAAAGAATGAATGATCTGTTTTATTTACACAGAGAACTGTATTTGTTTTTTTTTAATGTTGGCTTTATTACTATCTAGATATGGTGAGGACAGTAGTTCAGGAGACACCAATGAAAAGACAGTTATTGCTCTCACAGATTCCAGAGCAGGGGGCACCCACACCATCAGAGCCACCAGGGGAGCAGCAGGGCAATGTACAAGCAAAGGTAGTGATGGAGAAACAGGCAAGTATCTCCATTGAGGCCTCCACAGAAAAGGATACATCAGATAGATGGTTCTGTGACTCCCCAAGCCTTGTATTTGTAGTTTCTAGAAACTGCATGTGGAGCTCGTCATGATTTGAACATTTGTGTTGTGTTTTGTGTATGCTTAGAATGGAGTGGGAGACATAGTTCAAGGGTTTGATATAAGAGGCAGTTTTCTCCAAAAGGGATTAAAAAGTAGTTTATCTCAAGTAAGATAGAAGTAACCAAAGCCCAGAAACACAAATTCAGGTTACCTTGATGACATGTTCTGTTGTAGGAGAGGTTATATGAACATTTATAGACCCAGAATTAAAGAAAGTCCTAAGTCAATGCATTTACCAGATACACTGGTGTGGGCATAGGTAGGCAAGTGATGGAGGAGTGAAGAAGTCACTTTGTAGATGTTATTAATACTTAGCTTTATAGTATTGGGAGCTAGTTGTCTTTTAAGTATACATTCCAAATATTTTCCAGAGGAGTCATGGAAATGTTAGATCAGACACAGATATGGATAGAGAGTGGCTGTCCAGGGACTAAAGACAGTCACAGGTTATTTGGGCTCTTCATCTGCCACATTCCTGTTCTCCACAACCATGAAATTCTAGTTATTCCATCAGTATGAGAGATTTCCAGCCCAAGTGTGACACCGAAATAGAGAACTTTGGCTTCCAGGCCCAGTGGCCTATGGCATGTCTTTACGTAGCCATTCACTAAGATTAGTTTTCAAAACAAGAACCTGGGCCAGTGATATGGCTTAGCAGATACAGGTGCTTGCTGTCAAGCCTGATGGCCTGAGTTCAAGCCCAAGGACCCACAGATGGAAGAAAATAACCGACTCCTGCAAGTTGTCCTCTGACCCCCACGTGCATGCCTCCACTGGTGCCCCCACCTCAATGAATAAATTTAATTATCAAAAAGTTTAACAATGTACATAGAGAGAGAGATTGAAAGATAGAGAAATCAACCAAACTAAAAACAAGACCCACACAAAAGAGGGGCAGTACGTAGCCATGGCTTACTCAGGCTATGACAAGGAGAGTAGAGCTGGATTAACCAGCTGAAGAAGGATGACAAGACCCACACAAAAGAGGGGCAGTACGTAGCCATGGCTTACTCAGGCGATGACAAGGAGAGTAGAGCTGGATTGTGACTTTCCAGGGGAAAGGATAGTGTGGTTGAGGCACACGTTTCCTTTGCAGATTAATTTCAACCTCATCCTGCTCTTGTTGTTGGAGCTCCTCATGGCAGCCACGGTGATCATCTCGGCTCGATCCAGTGAGGAATCTTGCAAGAAGAAGAAGGTGGGTCTCCCGAAACTACCTCCTCATGCCCTTGAGCTGGGCCTAGCCAGGGGAGACCATGAGTGGGAGGGGACAGGTATAGGTGGGAGACTGCTGGCTGAGCCTAGGGGGTGACAGTACAGCACCACTGCCTCCCTAGTGTTCTTCCCATCTGTGCTGTCTGCAGGACTGTCACTGGAAGACCACTTCTGCGAAAATGTTGGTAAGCTCCAATTGCGCTGATTAGACATGTCCATATGCAAGAGGAGATGTCTGCACTTGAATTGTTCCTCCAGATTGAAGGGCTGTTTCATTGAGGCTTTTAGAAATACAACTCCTGATACAGCAACTAGCACCCATTCCTAGGATTCTATGGCTCCATAAGGCTTTCCGTCTTCCTAGGTTTCCATCTCAGATGGCACCAACATTTTGGATGAAGTGACTTTTCCTGCTCGGGTCCTAAAATCCTACTCCGTAAGAAAAACCTCCATCTTCCCCATCTTCTTTTGCTTTGACACAAGGTCTGACTACATAGTCTAGGTTTGCACTGACCTATCCACCCTCCTGATTCAGCCTCCCATATGGTGGGTTACAGTATGAGCACCTCTATCACAACATTGGGCTGGTTCTCCTAACGAGTGGGGCAACTCCATGTCCATCCCCTCAGGCTCAGTTCTGCCTGTGAGCTTCACTGTGGGTCAGGTGGCAGCACCCACCACCATCTATCTCCTTGGCACCTACTGACCCCATGGGCTGTCCTGGGGAGACCTCTATCTATGCACTGTGTTCTGAGACTTCCAGGGTGTCTCTTCTCTCACCATGGGGCAGACCATTGGTGTAGTGGCCTAGCAAGGTGACTGTATCATTTTCCTCCTAGGTGGTAGAAGTAATTGCTGGTGTCTCCGCTGTCCTTGGGGGGGTGATCGCTCTAAATGTAGATGAAGCTGTCTCTGGCCCACATCTCTCAGTGACATTCTTTTGGATTTTAGTGGCTGTAAGTATTTTCTGGGTAGTCACCTTGTCTATGTTTCTAGCTAACTAGACATGGCTGCAGCAAGTTTTGAGTGTCCCTCTTTAGACCCTACATGGCTGGATTTTGTTTTGTTTAGTTTTGTTTTGTTTTTCGAGACAGGGTTTCTCTGTGGCTTTGGAGGCTGTCCTGGAACTAGCTCTTGTAGACCAGACTGGTCTCCAACTCACAGAGATCCGCCTGCCTCTGCCTCCTGAGTGCTGGGACTAAAGGCATGAAGCCACGGCCTGCTTCATGACTGGATTTTTTTTAGCACAATGTTGGTAATAGATAGGAGAGCACACAGGAGAGCCCCTCCTTAAGAATCTGGGAGCCAAGGATTAAATGTATTTGCATGAAATTTTATCTTAACTGCTACCATTATATTACTTTCGTATTTTTCTAAGACACCCAATTATTTTCCATTAAATGCTGCTATGGTAAACATTTAGCACAGGTGTAATGTGGGAAATGTGTGACACTTGGCCACTCTTTTACATGTGATCCTTTTGCCATCTTAAAGTATTCCAAATTTACCTATGTGATTTAGTATTGTGATTTAGTATCTTAATGTTTTGGGCTCATGACACTCCTCAGAACAGTCAAACTAGAGCAATTCCTTCATATTCATTATTTCTACACATCCCAAATCTACTCTGAAACCAGTTCCATTGTAACTTGTGTTTCCAGATGTTGGCTAAAGTGGTCATTTTGCACCATGGCACTATTGAGCTGCCATTGGCCCCTGGTTTGTCCCATTCTGCTTGTCTGGCTAGATGGACTTTTAGATTGTGCTCTTTCCACACACTTTTCTTTTCCGTTAGAAAAGTGAATGGGATACAATGAGCATCCTCTACCTCAGCCATGGGCTTCTGAGCCAGAATTGGGCTCTGAAGCTGCCCAGGGGACATATCCTTGTCTTGGCTGCTCACCCTGCTCATGCAGCCACCTCTTGTCAGCTCCTCCTCTGTCTTCACTCACCTTTTCTCTGGGACCCTTGGCAAGTGCAGACTCCTTCTTGGTGTATCTAGGTCCAAGTATCCTGGGGACAGTGCTTCTGTCCTGGGGCCTGGGCATTTCCTTTACATTTGTTTACATGGATAAGAACTTTTGAGCTGGGAGTTAGTCCAGGAGCTCCTCAAGCTGTTTAGGGTTCTTGGAATTCCTGGGCCAATGGCCCAGAAAGATGACCAAAGGGCTCACCAAGCTCCCTGCCATCTCCACTGTCCTTACTTGCCTGGAGTTTGGAAAAGACATTTTGGTATCCAAAGGAGGAGCCCTGAAGCTTCCCCAGCCAAGGATAGACAGACCTTCCTGTCTCATCTTGAAGAGGTACCCACCTAACCCCATAAAGGCTTGTGTGAAGCTCTGGGCCTGTGTCTCAGAGAAGTCCTCGAAGGTGCCAGAGGTTAAGGGAAATCCCTGTGAATAGAGACAGACAAGGAGGTATAAGGAGAACCCTAGTTTGGGTCCTAGATCACAAAGCAGAGATTTCTCTTTACATTGCTTTTGGGACCCCTAGACAGTGCTGCAGATAGATCCACATTTGCCTGTTATACTGTACTGCCCAAATACGTAGGCTATCAAGTGATGGGGTGACAGCAAAGAACACAGAGCACAGAGGTGACAGATGTCAATGAGGTCATTCCAGGGGACATGGAGACTTGGAATGCTGCTCTGCCATTCTTGCAGCTACAGGAGCCTTAAATTTTAACATATAGTTGAAGAACAAGAAGCTACGAAACCTGTGAGATGCTACACTGAGCCCAGGCCACTTGTGGCAGCCCTGGCTTTCCTTCTACTGGATAGAAGGGTGAATGTCATCAAGAGTAGTAGAACAAGCTGACTTCTTAGACATCCATCTCTAAGATTTTTCTCTTCTTTCCCCAGTGTTTTCCAAGTGCCATTGCCAGCCATGTGACAGCAGAGTGTCCCAGCAAGTGTCTGGTAGGTGAGGCCCAGCCCTGTGGTGCCATGGTTCATACTATGGGTGTGGCTGAACAGAGTTGAGAAGGAGAGGCCTGCAGGGGCCAGTGGGAAGGGCCAGCGCAAGCAGCACTGCCCTGGAGAAGAACTCAGGGGCCTGGCTACCCTCTCTCTGAAAACAAGACGTAAGCACTTTAGTATCCAGTGCTGGGTTGTATGACCCTGATACATGGCGAAGGTTGGAACAGATCTTAGAAGAGTGGGAGAAGTGAATCGCACACAAGAGCTGATGTTTTTCATCAGATTAGATGGTCGCATATGAAATTCAAAAACTTGAAAGGCATGCATAGCACTGACTGAGAGGTTTGTCTGGAGCCACATAGTGGTCTAGCCTTGCAGATTCCCAGGCAGGTCGGTGCTGGCCACATCTGCTACCCAAGCTCATCTGCTTCTCTGCCAGGTGGAAGTGCTGATTGCCATCAGCAGCCTCACATCCCCACTACTCTTCACTGCCTCTGGATATCTGTCCTTCAGCGTCATGAGAATCGTGGAGATTTTTAAAGATTACCCACCAGCCATCAAAGTATGTATCCATTCGATTTTGAAACTCTTTGGAAACACAGCCACTTACTGTTAGAGTCTGGGGAGATGACTATGGGGCATCTGCTGTTTTCCTGACAGTGGCCAGGACAAATGGGAACCCACCTGAACAAAGTGGCTTTGCCCAGTTCGCTCTGGGTGGGGTAGGTTGTATATGGAGTGAGGCAGGATCTGATTTGCTTTCTCCATGTTGGTTCTGCCCCGAAGGCTGCTAGGCAGCTCTGCTCTGGTTTCTGCCCACTGCTTTGTTTTGTGTTTGTTTGTTGCTCCCCCTCCGTGACTGTCTTAGTTCAGCCCTATAATAGGCCCCACTTCCTTCATTGTGACTGGTTTTCCTGTATCTTCCAAGCATCCCTGTGCATCTCAAGACCAGTCATCATGTTACAGCCCACTGGGGTCTCTGTCAGACCTGCATTAAGTTCATAGGAATATCTGAGGATTGGAGGTGTTCTGACTCTAGATTTCACATAGGATGTCACCAAGTGAGACTCCTCTGGGGACTCCCAGCACATTTTAGGACTTCCTCAGGTTCAAGTGCATGCAGCTGGATTTACATCTTAGATGCTTGGCATTTGTTTCCAGGATAAATGATGCCCTCCTGCCCCCACCATGAGTGCCTCTGGCTTTCAAGTGTCATGATTAAAGGTGTGTGCCACCACTGTCCTGTGTTGGGAGTCATTTTTTTTTAACCCAACAACTTAACCCTAGTGTTTGGGAAATACCCAGAGGGATCAGAACTCTCCTGTACTCTTTCATTAATCTGTTCAAATGTTGCCCCACTGACCTGACACATCCTAGTGATGGGAACAGGGTTATTTCCAGCTGTTATGAATAGCTCCTGGTGACCAACCTATGTGCACATTTCATGTGAATCTGAGGATGACCACCTGGGAGAGGAACTACACAGACAGTAGATACATCTGGACTCATGTCCTCTCCAGAAAGCTTCCTATCACGGGTTTTCCAGAGCAGGGCAAAGCCACAGATCACAAATTTGATCTTTCTTAAGATGGTTCACTTGTTGAAGCCACATTTGTATAAAAATCCTTATTTCTCTTGAGCAGTGGTGGCGCACGCCTTTAATCCCAGCACATTGGGAGACAGAGGCAGGCGGATCTCTGTGAGTTAGAGACCAGCCTGGTCGACAGTGTAAGCGCCAGGACAGGCTCCAGAGCTACACAGAGAAACCCTATCTCCAAAAACAAAACAAAACAAAAAAACAAATGCTTATTTCTCTGAGTCCTTTGACATACTTTCTCACAGGCTGTGCTTTGCCTGCAAGGTCCTTTCCTTACAGGTCACCATCTGCCCCATCTTCCCTGTGCTGATGGTTGAGGCGGTACACCCGCCTTCTTCCCTTCCCAGCAGGAAAGCTCCTCACTGTGGGACACACATAGATTTTGCTCTTATGTGTGGATTTCTATTTTAATTTTTGAGACAGGGTCTCATTGTATAGTCCAGGCTGGCCTTGAACTTGAGATCCTCCTGCTTGGGCCTCCTGAGTGCTGGGATCATAGGCTCACATCATCATGCCAATCTGAACTATGTCTTTTGTGTATTAACATTTAATTGCTCTAATTTAGTGGGCTGATGCTGAAAGGCATCTGTCTGGTTGCTTTGTGGCTATTTCCAAAGCACTCTTTGCTCTGTGAAATGCATTTTATTGCCACTGGCCCCTGGACTCTCAGGACAAGGACTCTTGCCCTGTTTTCTTGCTCTTCCTTATTGCCTCTCCCTAATCAGCATCTGGTGTTCAGGTCTGGTAGATCCGGACCCATGACTTTCCTTCAGCCAAAGGCCCTTCAGAGCCAATTGTACCAATCTCAGGAGTGTGTTTCTCCTCTGAAAAAATTTGGTCTCCTCTGTCCTTTGTACACCCTTAGCGTGAGCCACAGGAGTCTCACATGTTCTCCCCGTGGTTGTTGGATTGGAGGGGTGGAAGGAATACAGCCTGGCTCCTTTTTATGCTTGTTAAATGCAAGCCAGCAGAAACGGTAGAACTGGGATGTTCTGATTCAGATAACTGAAACAGGAAAGCATGTTTGGATTTCTAGGGCTCAGTGGTGAAGGGGGTGTTCTGACTCTGTGGAAGCCTTAGACAAGGGGAGAATTTGCAGGAATCTGCCTGAGAACCTGCTCACATCTTGGTCTTTCATTGTAGTCCTATGATGTGCTCCTCCTGCTGTTGCTGCTAGTGCTGTTGCTTCAGGGGGGCCTCAACACTGGTACAGCCATCCAGTGTGTGAGCTTCAAGGTCAGCACCCAGCAACAGGCTGCATCCTGGGACACCCAGACCTGTCCCCAGGAGCGCCCAGCAGGGGAGGTGAGTGGCCTGCCTTCCCAGGATGCCCCATCCTGGGTCCTCAGAGGGTTCTTGTGAAGTAATGGATCCCTCTACTGAAGTCCTTCAATATCTGTTGTAACATTTTGTGGCTCTTTTTTTCTTCATTTGCAGTTCTAAACACCTAAGAAAAATCTTGGAGAAATAAAGTTTGAACTAGGAACAAGCTTGCTTCAGATGTCAATACCTTCTATTTCTCCCTCTCCCTCTCCTCCTCCCAACATCCCACCTGCCCCTAGCTATTCCCCCTCCACTCCCCAGGCAGGGTAAGGCTCTCAAAAGGGGCTCCCCAAAGTCTACCACATCATCCTGGGCCAGGCCTAGGCCCTTCCCCATGTGTCCAGGTCAAGAGAGCATCCCTTCATATGGGATGGGATCTCAAAATCCCTTTTTTTTAAAATACCTTACATATTTAATACAGTGCGTTACCCCTGTACAAAAGGAAAAAAATTAAGTTCAACATTTCTAGAACAATATGGCTGTTAATTTTTGTACAATGCCAACTGAGCGTGGTAAACTGGGATACTTTTTTCCAAAGTTGACAGCACAGCTAAAGTTTCCAAAAATTCAAATTATGTATATGTATATTTATATTTATATAAAAAGACCAATAATGACAGTATGTTATGCATTAATAGCAGCAACAGCTTTTCCAGGTTCTGCAGTCATTTAAACAAAATTGTAGAGACATCCAGCACTCTCCATTAAAAAAAAAAAGTAAAAAACAAAATCCCAGAAAAACAGCACAGTTCTGTTACGAACTAGGTTATTTTTTAAATGAATAAATGAGTGCAAACCCATTCATGAAAAAAATATGGTCATAGTGCCTTCATATAGACTAGAAAAAGCCTTCCAAAGACTCCGACAGAAGATACCATGCTCTGCAGGGAGAGCTGCCCCTGCCTGGCGTGTGGGCTTCCCTGCAGCTAGACATTCCTATTCTGTGGTCAGTGTGGTGGTAGTGGCCAGTCCACAGTTACCTGAACAATACTCTTCCTGCCCTCATCCTATCCTAAGCCCTGATGCCCCCACAACTGAGGTTGGGCCTGCTAATATCTCCTTGAGTCATCTGCTCCTGCAGTGTCTTCCTGGATAAACTTGCCCACTGCCATCAAGGAAGTGACCACAAAGTATTTGGTTGTTCTATGCTCAAGGAGATGTCCAGGCAGGTCCTGCCCAGCAGGTCTTACCTTTGTCTTGGGCCAAAAGAAGTCCACCCAGATTTGTGTCCTGATCAGCAGGCCATAGTCTCAGATGAATAAATTGTTCTTGCTAGATTCCAGAACTATCCATCTTTGGAGATCCAAATACTTGTGAAAGCTAAAGTTACCCTATCTTGTATCTGGAAGCATGTGTCTGCCTTAGTCATCTATTTCTTTTGCTGCCAGGTGCCCACCCATCTTAAAGCCTACCTCATTGGACACTACAGACACTGTGGGAGAGCAGCAGACATTTCTAAGATGCTCTGTCCCTTTTCTACCATCCTCTCCCCTCAGTTCTTTGACACATAAAGAAGCTTGCATACAAATGCTGCACAAACTGAGATGAATCTGCCTGCCTTCCAGGTCTGGCCCTGATGAGGTAACACTGTCCTTGTCTCTTATTACAGGTGGCCAGAAGCCCCTTGAAGGAGTTTGACAAAGAGAAAGCCTGGAGAGCTGTGGTGGTGCAAATGGCCCAGTGACTACAGGATAAAGAGATGAGTCTTGGTGTCTGTCTGGCCCCCGGCATGTCCAACTGTACAAACTCTAACTATCCTGCAACAACTGCTTGCTAACATACTCTTTCCCTCCTGTGAGGGCAGCCCAGACTGCAAGGTGGTTTTCACTACCTGTAGTAGTTTAACTCTGGAACAGGCAAACATTGAAGGTTGCACCCTGTTAAGTGGGTCTAATTGAGAAATTTTTTTAAAAAAGGAGCTTGGGATAAAGATAACCTTTATTAGAAAAACATCAGCCAAAGCAAGCCAGAATGTGCCAGGGGCAGCAAGGCAGGCAGGCCAGAGAGAAGGGGCCTATCACACGTTATCCTGACCTCACCTTGACTAAGCCTGTCAGGGCGAGGTCAAGCACACCTGTAGCCAGCCTCTAGCAGGCGTGGCTTACATTGTCCCCTACAATTCCCCCTTTAGTCTAAAAGAGGATTAAATCTTAACAGTGTAAAGTATCCAAAATTAACAATCATAAAGGTGAAATACAAGAAGATACAATAATCTGCTATGACACATCCTAACTATGTCTACATCCGCTAAACCCTAAGGTCATCTGAAAAGAGGTGCTGTTCTGTACTTCTCAGGTGACCCTGCTGGTCTGGGTAACCCTTGTTTTCCAGCCCTCTACTTATGGTTTGCTCCTCACTCACTCATAGGCTCTGATGTCTTGGCCTTAGGGCACTTCCATGCCTCTGCATGCTTGCCACAATGTGGGGATGCTTTGTGAGAATCACATCGGCTTTGATTAAAATCATGGACAAGAGATGATTTGTATATCATCTCCCCAAACCCCAGAGGACAGCTGGATTCTCTCAACTGATAAGAGCACCAAGGAATCCATAGTATTGGGTACCTTGTGAAACTAGGAACTATTTTAGGAATTGCTTTCCTGCTGATGCTGTCACTGAATTCATTTGTCACCGCAGTTTTGTCCCTCCTCTGGGAGGTGAGCAGCAGTATCCCTTTACTGAGCTGGGGTGTGTATCAGTGGGTCCCAGGGAGGCTATTGGAAAGACTAGAGGTGCATTGTATGCCCCCAAAGAGCTGCCTAAGTCAGGGAGATGATGAAAATCCTTTTAGGTTTCTCACTTCTAAATGCACATGACTCTGACTGCTAGGATCCACAAAAAGTATGGTCAGTCATTATTTTTAGTCAGAGAAATGCAAGTAAGGCACCTAGAAGGTAGAAAGTACCAAACAAAGCAGCTCCATCCCCAGCCTTGGGGAGTCCCTGTCCTATCTTCATCTTCTGCAGCTACAGAGGGCTAGGGCCTGCACCAAGTAAGTGGTATGAGTGGTGCAGAGCCCTCTAGGCTTTGGACCTACTGCAGCCCTGCCATGCCTTGTTGTGTGGGGAGCAAGCCATCTGCTAGACCAGAGACTTGAACATTCAGGACCAGAATGAAGCAGCAGGGGGATTGCTGCTTGCTTGCACTTTCTAATTTTAAAGAACTCAAAAAAAAGTCGTATAATTTAAAATTTAAAATTTGTCTCTTGTATACTTTGTTTGGTATAGTTTAATATGCTTGGGCAATAAATGCTAACATGCAAATGTGGTCATAGCCTGTTAAATGCTTCTGGGAAAAAACAAACAAACCAAAAACCACGGGTGAGAGATGGGTCCTTAGAGTGGAAAACCATTTTTAATTTATTCTTTGATCTGTAAAGACTGGAGGTAGGGAGTAAAGACTGGATCACTACTCAGGAAGAAGTCAGGGAGAAGTCTCCTACACCTGGGGAGGAAAACCTGTGAAATAAAGATACCTTTAATCCAGTGGTTTTCAACCTTCCTATTGCTGAGACCCTTTAATACAGTTCCTGTGGGTAACCCCAAGCATAAAATTATTTCACTGCTACTTCATAACTGTAATTTTACCACTGTTATGAAGTATGATGTAAATATCTGATACACAGAATATCTGATATGTGACCCCTACAAGGAGGTCATGACTCACAGGTAGAGAAGCATTGCTTTAAACCAAGTGAAAATGATCTGAAGTTTGGGCTTTAAAGCAATAATTGATAGAGAGGGAGAGCAAGGAAAGAGATATCTTTATATAGGGACCCATTATGGGGTTATCAAGAAACCTGGCCCTAGGGAAATTCCCAGGAATCTACAAGGATGACTCCAACTAAGACTAAGCAATAGTGGAGAGGGTGCCTGAACTGGCCTTCCCCTGTAATCAAATTGATAACTACCTTGTCATCATAGAGCCTTCATTCAGTAACTGATGGAAGCAGATGCAGAGATCCATAACTAAACACTGGACGGAGCTCCCAGAATCCAGTGGAAGAGAGGGAGGAGCAATAATATGAGCAAAGGGGACAAGATCATGATGGGAAAACCCACAGAAACAACTGAACCGAGCTAGTGGGAGCTCACTGACTCTGGACTGACAGCTGGGGAACCTGCATAGGACTGAACTAGGCCCACTGAATGTGGGTGACAGTTGTATGTCTTGGCAGTTTATGGGGCCACTGGAGTGGGGCCAGGATTTATCCCTAGTGCATGAACTGGCTTTTTTGGAGCCCATTACCTATAGAGTGATACCTTGCTCAGCCTACATATAGGGGGCAGGGCCTTGGTCCTGATGTGACAGACTTTGTTGACTTCCCCGGAGACCTTACCCTCTCTGAGGAGTAGATGAGGGGCAGGGAGTGGGAGGAGTAGAGGGAGGGGAAAGGAGGGGAAACTCGTATTGGTATGTAAAATAAAAAAAGATTGTTTAAAAACAATGACTCGGATGGATGGATGGATGGATGGGCCTTCCTCAACACAGCCTAAGGTGCCACATAGGGAGGCAGCCTGGGAACACCAAGGACACACAGCACAGGTACCCCACTAATGAACCTAATATACCAAGGGCACTCTATGTTCCTCTGGGCACAGAGGACTTACTTTGACACCCTGATCTAGAGGAGAGACACTCAGCTGACAAAGGGATTCTTTCAGCTGGCAAAGGGACTTTGGAAGGCACTCTCAGCTGGCAAAGGGACTGGGGAGAACACCTGCCTGGAAGGACCCTGGGACTCCATCCCCACCTCTGGCCTATGTGGAGGCATCTTGTGGATATCAAGGGAGCCAGGAGGGAGGAAGTCGAGGGTGGGGCAGGGTGTGACCCCCCGGTCTTTGTGACTTGAGTGCCAGGGTTGTCTGTGTGACCCTGACAGGTGCGTGGGAGATGTGGAGGGGGAGCGCATGACCCCGGCGGGGTAGCAAGCTAA